TCAGAGTTCAGGAGACAAGCCTTAGGTAGAGATGAACCCTTGTCTACTAGGGTGTAGGTTGCATCTAAAGCCAGGAAATCATTCAGATCACCAAAGGATGGCATGCGGGGTGTGATGGGATGTTAAGGAAAATATGAAGGAGAATGGTTAACAGTGTCAAATGACAGAGAGAGGTAAGTAAGGTAAGGCCTGAAATGTGATGACCAGTGGAGCTGGCAATTAAAGAGCAGAGTGGAAGATTTTCTAGCCTTCATTTAGCTCTTGGGTTACTCTGTCATTCTGAACACCTAACACCTCTTTTCCACTTGACCAGCCCTTTCTATAAACATGTCCTATGCTGAATGAAGATGGCAAGCTCCCCTCTTTGAAAATGCCTTGCACCCCAATATCTGACATTTATAACAACTTAACCATTCCTACTAGTCACAAGTGGACTTTGACCAGCCCTTTCTATAAACATGTCCTATGCTGAATGAAGATGGCAAGCTCCCCTCTTTGGAAATGCCTTGCACCCCAATATCTGACATTTATAACAACTTAACCATTCCTACTAGTCACAAGTGGACTTCTGACTCACACTGAGCCAGTCAGAATCTCTTTTTACCTCTTGAGAATATAGTTGGGCTATGTTAAGCATTGTTGCTATAAAGTCCTATAAAGTTGGGATGCATCTCATACTACCTATGACTTAATATTATGGGGGAACCTGGATTATGTAAACATTTGAGTTTGCCATAAATCAACACTACTCACTTGCTTTAAATTTGGCTGTTAGGATGATTTCCCTCAAAGTCAATTTCTCCTGAAATGATATCACACCTTCATACAAAAGCTTCACTCAAATAGACTACATCTCCAGCCCCCAATACATCCTGTCCTTCCTCCTGCCCTCCCCCACGCCCACATTTCCCCAATTACTATGCCAGTCATAGAAAACTATATTGCTGAACTATTACGAGTAGTTATTTCTGGATGCCAAAACAAAGGACTGTGCAAGACTTAAGCCAGCACTAGGATTCTTGACAGGCTGGGAAACAGCCCGTGAAGTTTAGCTTGCCCATGACCTCAAAATAGTACCTATTTTTATCACATGCACATAAGACCCACCAAGCTCAAATTCACACTCTATCCATGGGTACCACCTATACCCATGCAGGAAGGGGTGAGTTTGAAGAGGGCGTGTCAGGACTTCCAACCTACAGAGGGCACCTTCAGGAGTGGGAGAGAGAAGGCTGCTGATGGAGCCGTAACAGAGACTCCTCTTCCTCCTGAGGACAAGGCCCCTTTACTTGTAAGGGCTACCCACCAAATCCTTATAAAATCTGAGGGCAAAAAGAGAAACCTCCTAGGCAGGTTCTCACCATTTCGTACACTTATTAGCTGACTATTAGCATTCAATGTCATTGGTTTCTTCAAAATTTTGAGCAGGAAAGGAAATAAAGAGAGGAGAGAGGGAGACAGGGCACAGATGTGGAAAACAGAAGGTGAATGGCGGTCAGCATAAGGTGCAAAGCGGAGAGAGAATCAGGAGCAAAGGAACATAATTCAAAACTACAAGGAGCAAATGTAGTCAGAGGTGGGGGTTTTTTTGTTTTGTTTTGCTTTTAAAAAAAAAAACCTTTTGCTGCTTTATAATGAATTATATAACAAAGTTTAGAGAACGGTGCTACCTTTTAATGGATAATATCTGTATAAGTAAGCATTATCTATCATCTACACGGTACTAACAGTCTTATTCTTAGTTGTCCTATTTTTGATATTTTTATGAACTAGTTTCCTCATCTTAAAATAAGGGGCCTTAGAATTGAAGGAGTCTAAAGTCCTTCCAGCTCAGAGATTCCAGGGGGAGAGGGCAGGCATGATCCCCAGGGATGCCTGTCTTCAAAACATTCAAACCTAAACACATTTGGTAGTTACTAATTTAATTGAATTCAAAAGTGTTTTTGCCTAAAAACCTATGAGGGAGTCACTCCCTTTCACAGAGAAAAGAAAGCACATGATGACTTACTAGAGTTAGGTATCCAGCATGTGACACACTTGACATGTCATCACAGCTAATGGACGTGACTGGTCACATAGTCCAGTGGTTAAAATAAACTCAGGAGCTGGACTGCTTGGATTTGAATCTTGGTTCTACTGATTAAGTCACTTAGCCAAGTTGCTTATTTCTCTGTGCCTCTGTTTCTCATCTGTGAGGTAAGAAGAGCAGTAATACCAAGTTCACAGGATTTTTATAGGTTACTCTGTTTCTCATCTGTGAGGTAAGAAGAGCAGTAATACCAAGTTCACAGGATTTTTATAGGACTAAATGAGTTAATATTTGTAACGTACTTAGAATAGTACCTGGCACAATATAAATATTTCTTTAAAAAACTGGTAAGGCTAGGTGCTTACCCCTGTTTTATAAAGGACGAAACTAAGATTTACAAAGGTTAAGTAACTGGGGTCCACACTCACCACGGAGTAAATTGTGGAGCCAGGATTCAACTAGACCAAGACTTCAGAGCTTATAAGTTTTACTGCCATTGCATGCCATCTCCCTACACAAAATGACTCATCTAAGAACAGAGCACATTGAAATAATGACCTAGGAACAGACACTAGGAATATACCACTCTATCTGGCTAGACCAGGAATTGCCAGCCAGTTCCTTTTTTAGCATAAAAGTTAAAAATTTTAAATCATTTTAATGTCATACTTGTGTATCACTTCCAAGTTTGGTGCTCATTAATTTTTCTATCCACATTTACTCTAAACCATAAAACAACAGAAATACAGAGTAAGCCTATGTCTTTCAAAAATAACTGGCTTCTCACTATTACACCTTGGATTAAAATAGTGAGTTCTTATTGTGCCTCGGAGCTGTGGTGAGCATCGACATTCTCTCATTGGATCCTCACAATAATCTCCTAATTTATATTTTAAAGATGAACGAACAAAAGCTCAGAATGTTTAAGTAAATTCCCCACACAGCTAGTAAACAGCAGAGCTAGGATTTCATCCATCTCTGCTTGACTCTCAACTACTCTCCTACACTATTCCCTTTAGAACACAACCATGCCAACTATGGGATCACTTTATGTTCTCAAACAGACTGCAACTCATCAAGACAGGGCCATGGGATTTAGAAAAACACATTAGCATCCCATGAGCAAATACCATGTAAACAGTTGTTGTGGACTGACTGAATTGTGTCCCCCAAAACTCATATGCTAGAAGCTTAAATCCCCACTGTAACTGTTAAAGATGGGAAATCCTATTATGGTAATTGAAAGGTAGGGCCTTGAAGAGGTGATTGGATTGTAGGACCATGCTGCAGTGAGTAGATTAATAATGGTGGTCAGGGGCATGGTTCTGAAGGCTTTAAAAGAAGAGCACATGAGAGGTTAGTCTGTCTCTGCTGTGCTCTGCCATTTTCTGCCATGTGAGACCCCTGCACTGCTGTAAAGCCACAACCACAGAAAACTCACCAGATGTGCTCCCTGGACTCCAGACTTCCTAGCTTCTGAAGCTGTAAGCAGTAAATTTCATTTTCTTATAAATTACCCAGTTCTAGCTATTTTGTTATAAGCAACAGAAAGAGACTAATACAATAATCCTCAAAGAGATTAAAGGATGGGACATACAAAAATGGAACAACAAAACTTTGAGTGATAAATTATATCAAGTAAACAAAGAATAACAATAACAATTTATAATACTCTTATTATATTTATAACTTTATAAACTGTTTACGACCTTCAGACAGATGTCCAGTGATAACTTTGTCTTTTATTGAACAGGCCTTGAGCAAGTTGCATGAGCACACTGACCCACACCAGAAAATGGGAAGGACTGTTTGGAAGATGGAGCGAGCTCACAGGGAAGATGCTCCGTAGAGCAGCCAGGCAGGGCAGGCACCGTGCAGGTGCTTAACTAACGCCAGGACCCTTCTCTTCACAGTTGCCTTGCCTAGCACGGAGGATGGCACATGGGCTCTTTAAAAATGCTGACTGAAGGAGCAAAGGGAGAGGAATGTGCTATGATCCCAGTCCTCTAATAGGAGTCACCTTTTCTACAATTTCCCATTTTCTGAACTCAGCTCTGAAATGAGCTATTCTCTATTTCACTCTTCTTCACATTATCCAAAATAATTCAATGTCCACCTGCTCCTCTGGGAACATCAAAGGTTGACATGGCTACCTTTTGAACTCAAGCTACTAAAGATCCTTTGTTGTGTTCAAAAAGTTTTACTGATTTTGAAAGGTCTTATTGATAAAACACAGAGAAACTCAGGGGAGAAGGACAAAGAGAAAGAAGAAGAAAGAGAAAGAAGAAAGAGGGCTGAAAAGAAAGAGAAGGAAGAGAGAGCCCAAGAGGAGCAGAGAGAGGCAAAGGCTATTGAATGCAAAATCACCAACAGTCTTAGAAACTAGCAATCATGGAGCATTATTTTTAAAAGCCAAGGGGAAAATATTTACATAATATCCAAAGAATACGTGTTCTTTGTTAAATGCTAGAAAATGACAATATATTCAACTCATCAATTCATGAATTAGTCTGTGTGATGTTTACTTCTGGCAGCACTGGCATTTCTGAGCTAAATATTTAAGAGAATGAGGAAGAAATTTAAGAACTAAAGATGGAAGTGAAGGCTATTTGATGTGTTCTGTTCTTGTTGCTCTGTCTGTCTGTTTTGGTTGTATCTGTACAGTTTTACTGATACATTTAGGGGTTGGGGTTAATAAAATGGGCCACATGAAACCATCCAAGTCCCTCTTGAAGACCTCTGCCTCCGAGGTATGTATAAACGTCACACAAATTTTAAACAATTTAAAACAAAGGCATGTAGAAAAGTCAAAGGAATTTGAAACAATTTTCTAATTATGCTTATAAATGATAGCTTCAAAAGCAGATATGTTACGATAAACATATATTAAGAGTAAATTAGGCCTTAAATTGTGTTTAGCAAGTTTTATGTCCTCATTAAAAACAGAATCACAAGAATAAACATGACTTACCACCAGAATTAACTCTGCCACAATTGTCTACTCTTCCCAAACATTCTTTGTGTGCTCTTGCTCCACACTTAAAACATAAATAGCCTTGATAAAATGTTCCTCTGAAAGGTAAAATTAGAGAGTGATATATTAAAAGGTGCTAAATTCTACCTATATGAAATCATTAGCAACAAAGGTAAAAAAGGTAGCACAGTGCTATTCACAGTACCCCTCAGGAGAGGGAGAGGACGTTGCTAAAGGCTCTGAAGACACTGTCCGGGTAAAAGGCCTAGCAAAGATCTGTTGGGCAATAAACTGTTAAAGCAATAGCCCACTTCAGAACAAAAGTCTGAAACACTTAGCAATTATACAAGTTCCTTTAAACTGAAAAACAGGACTGAGCAGCTTACCTCAGGAGCATCTGGCAGACTTTGCAGGATGTAACCCGAGTGAAGGTGTGCATCTTGAAGTCATGGAAGTTGGAGTCTGCATGGTCTGGCCTTATGTTAGATCTATAAAAAGGACAAAAAGTAACTTCCTAAAAAAGTTTCACAACAATGCTGCAGTCTTGTCACCTAAAACCTGAACTCATCAAAATTACAGTGGGTAGAAATGTGATTCAAGCAAAAAGCCTCTTAAATATGCAATGTTTTCCAAGCCAAAAGTATGCTATGCATTAAAATATGCATCAAAATCTGGTTTAGTGGGAACCAGCAACACAGAGGACATAAGCAACCTAATCTTCCTCAAAACTGAGTGTTCTCAGAGAACTTTACAGAATGGCCACATAGGTCAACTTGCCTGGAAAAACACAAAACCTGGTAGATATTCATGCTGTGTGATAGCTTCTTTTCTCTAGCCACATCCCTGAAATATAAACTAGCTGGCGAGGGTGGGAGAGAAGGGAAGAGGATGCTGCATTTCCAGAGTTCATCTCTAAATAGGGGTGTGGATTATGTAATTGTCTATAAAAAGGAATAAAATAGTTTTATAGAAAGTTTTGAACCAAAGCAGCAGTCTGATCATTAAAAACTTCTTCCCTAACGAACAATTCACTTTCCTCACAATCCTAATAAAAACTAAGTAAAATTGCTTTATCATTTATGTTTTGTGTTTTATTTACATTACACATATACAACAAAAATTAACACATGCCACAAATTGACATTCATTGCACATTTACTCTGCACCAGATACTGTGACAACCACATGATGTTCATTACTTCATTTAACCTTCACACCAATCCTAACTGCCCAGCACCAATAATATCACTAGTTTATAAACAACGAAACTGAGGCTTCTTCTAAAGTAAAGGAAATAGCCGAATCAGGAACTCCAACCCAGGTCTGTGCTCTTTGCCACTGATGCTACAGTCTGAGGAAGAAATCAGCAATATTCACATTAAAATAATTAGATTTTTGTGTTTAGTAGGTATGTAATAGCCGAATCAGGAACTCCAACCCAGGTCTGTGCTCTTTGCCACTGATGCTACAGTCTGAAGAAGAAATCAGCAATATTCACATTAAAATAATTAGATTTTTGTGTTTAGTAGGTATGTTGGAAACAATTAAATTTAGCTATTTCTAGAGGAATTTTTACATTATTCTTGATTTAGCCATGTCACAGAAGAAAGCAGAAAAATTAGAATAGGATAAGTTAAAAAATGGATACAAATCAGAGGTACACCTAGAAAGCTAAAGCTAAGAGGTTACATGCAATTTGAGAGACTGTAGGAAAAGTTTGAGATACTGATGTGCCAGGATTTCCCCTTTTATAGAATACAGCAACTCTCAACCACACAGAGCCTCAGCGTAATGAAGCATAACACAGGCGGGCACCGAAGCATCAATCTCTGAGGTACCAGGAGAAGGCTTATGAAAAAACATTCGCAAAGGCAATTGGAGTAGTAGGCAGTGATACAGAAGTGTCAGAGAGGTCAGCCTTCCAATCCATCTGCTGCATGTGAGCGTGCTATAAATGAAATCAAATATTGGTGCCATCTGGGGTTTCTCTGCTCTGTGCTTCTGGTGACCTCGCTTTTTAGAAAACTATTCCGCCACATGCTGAAAAGCACTGTCATTTCCATAGAGGCACTTTTGTGTTGCTGATTAAAAATTACAGAGTTCTTCTTCAGGAAGAGGGGATTGGAGAAAACATAAAGATACAGAAACAAAACTCACTTCACATTGTTCAGAAAGCATTTGATTCTTGAATCCGTAAAGCCATACATTGAAAAGAGCATCAAAGCCCATTTCCTTAGCCAGGAAAGGCTGTTGTTCATCTGTCTCTGAGCATCAAGGTGATATAGTCACAGATGAATTGTCAAGTAACAGTTTTAGTCTTGGGAACTTGAAGAATTCATCAGCCTAGAGTTCTCAAATAAGAGTAGGTCTACTTCAGGCAGAAATTTGTGTAATAAGATCAAAACTGGTAAGAATTTAACTAATTTCAGAAATAAATAAATAGAGTTTTGTTTGGACCATTTGTATTTAAAACTTTCACCTACTCACTAGGAATTAGCAGACTTTTCAGAGGACAAAAAGCTAAAAGGAGGATCACAAACTAAAAGGTTTAAAAGAAATTTTATGATGAAAAACAATTCTGAAAATATTGTTAACAGTAGTTGCCTTAAGGGAAATGAGACTTAAAGTGGTAGGGTTGGATGGTAAGAAGGAACTGTTAGAATTTTTTAAACTATAACTGCATATTATTTTTAAAATCTAGAATCAAAAACTAAAGAATAAAAGTTACCTCTATGACCCTGAAACTGCTATTGAGGCTCTCTTGAATATAAAAGCATAGTTAAGGGCAGGAATCTGAAATTAGAACACCTGGGCTTAAATCCTAACTTGCAAACCAGCAGCAGTGTGACCTTAGGCAAGTTAGTAAGTATGAAACAGGAACACTAATAAAACCTCATAAAGTGAGGTCATGTATGTAAAGTGCTTAGAACACTGCCTGATCCAGAGTTGGTGTTCAATCACTGGCCATAATTTATGAAGTGCTGATTCCAAATCCACATAATAATGATATGATAAGAATCATGCTTTTGTGAGCAGTGAAGACTCCCTTGGTAGCACTGTGACCAAGTCCCCAGAGAATCCCCATTCTCCTGGGAATGTCTGGCAGGAAGGTTGCTATATGTTCAGTGTCCTTGGAACCAGGAATCCATACATAATTAAGCGTAATAAGAAATAAGTGGGGTTTCTTAGGAGAGGATATGTATGAAAAAGCCCAAGGAATTAGATGAAGTCATACCAAGAACCAATGGAAAAGGAGAGTGATGTCAGTACACCTGGCCTGTAGCCTGTGAGGATACAGAAACCAATGACAGTAAATTGGCTGGATGGGAAGAGCTGGGAAGGTAGATCGGAGCAGAAGAGGATAGAGAAACATCAGGATCTTAGATTGGGAAAAGCATGAGGACAAAAATGGTCAAAACTGGCATCTATTGCACAGCTCTAATGCACCAGACACGTTGCTAGGCTCTTCATATACTTTTCCACACTTACTTCTCACAACAAATCTACAAAGACAGAGTAATTCATTCATTTCATACTCATTGAGTAACTACCATATATGCAGGCCCTAAGGCAGGAATAGAAAGAAGGAACTTTCAACTGGAGCCTGATGAGAGAAGAGGGGAGACGTAGGAATGGGGTAAGGGAGGATGGGGGGGGCAAGGAAAGAGGTGAGATTTTATGCAGGCGTTGACATCACTTTTAGTTGACAATATCTCTGGCTACTACTTAGAGAATTCCGTGCAGTGAGGTAACAATGGACACAGCAAGACCAATTATGGGGTTGGGCTGTCTATAGGTGAGAATTGAGGATCAAATAGATTAGCTCACTTGCTCAGTCATGCAGCTAAGCAAAAAGATTTCATTTTTGTGATGAAAATGAGTAATCTGCCTTAATATATGACAATTTACTTATGAGAACTGGGATGGAATCTTATAGATTTCTCAATAAAATGTTCCCATTTCTTTTGCTTCACATACGGTCCACTGTTAATGCAACTAAGCAGGCAATCAAATATTTATAGGGTAAAGAACGTTGATACTCTTAGGGCTCCTGAGAACTTTACATATTCTCCTCATATCCTCTCCTCTTTTCACCTGGTTCCATTGCTGAGGACCATGCATCTCCCCTAAGCCTAGGCCTCTTCTCCATTCTCCGGGTCTGCATTCCCAACTGGTCCTTGGGCATCTCAGATGCAGTACACACAAAACTCAGCCTCCACGCCCTTCCTGACATCTGATTCATTCACTCCATCTACCAACCCAGGAACTTCAGAATCACCATAAACTGTTCCCTGTCCCTCATACCCTCTACATATTCTTTTTCTCTTAACCTCTTCTCTGCTCTAACTTCTCCTTCCCATCACAGAAACTGTGATCAATTTCTGCCAATTCATCTTTAAAAACACCTCCTCAAAAACTCAGGTTCCACATACACTCTCACACACTCACTATTGGTTCTTTTTCTCTAGAGAACCCTAATACAGACATACTAGAAAATAATGTTAGATAGGTTTAGTGGGACCAGTTACCACAGGAGGGGATGGGAACGAAGCTTAAATTCAGATATGTCAGACTCTGTAACACCCAATGTCAAGTTACATAGACCTCCTAGGCTTTCACTATCTTCATACAGCCCTAAAAGAAATCACCATGTGAGGATAGCATTAAAAGTGTTTGTTGATGTCCACCTTCCCGCTGGCCCATATGGTGCTTGAGGACAGGGGCTGTATCTTCTCCTTTTCAACCTGTCTCCTTGCTATAGTCTAACACTGTAGCAGGAAAATTAACTGCGAGATATTTATAGTTAATGAAAATCAGGAAAATATGCTTTTCCCATAGCATTTTCTTTAATTGTTTTCAAAAGGCTGCCCTTTGCCACATTATCAGGTGAAAAGATGGAGAAAGTAAAGAGAAAAACATTTTTGCTAAGCCTTTAGGTTTTATCTCTCATATGAAAGAAATCTGAAGAAAAACATAATAATTAACTGAACTTGAATTCAATGTTATAATTTATGTTTACCTATATCCTCTCTTCTTTGTGAGAAAATATTTAATCTTTATACAAGGACTATAATGCTATTCACAGATATAAATATATTTCAGTAGTATGTATGACAGTGCAGTTATTAAAAATCATTATTCTTTAAATCTATATGCCTAAAATTAACATTTTTCCCTATTTTAACCACAAAATTTAAATCCTCATATCACTTTAGTAATATAGTTTAAGAATACAGGAAGCAAATAGTAGCAGCAAAATGAAATCATCTGTAATGATCATGACCAATTACAAAAGAATTAAGATGAGAATCAACTTATGATATCATGCTATCTCATGCCCTGTCAGTATCATTAACATTCAAGTACCGCCAGTATGGACATGGTGACAATGATGTAAAAATATATAAAATAGTTTATTTCATCATATTACATTGAAAGTAAAGGGGAGAGAGCTAGACACAGATGTCGGTGCTTGGAAAAAAAACTG